TTTACATTCTATTTTATAACTAAAAAAATTAGTGTAAGTGGATAAAATTGAAGTGAGAAAATCATTACCCTAAAATAAAAACAAGCCTATGTTATTGTGAATGAAATCGGTGACAACGTTAAACTTCCATTTACTTTTGTCGCATTGGGGGTTGCAATTTTCAATGTTTTGTTTCATCCTCAACCGACCAGCTTTCTAGTTGTCACGTAATTAAATTATAAATTACATTAGTTAGATGTTAAACTATGCGAGGCCACGGTGACTATATTTCTTTATATTATCATTATCTCAAATAATTTTTTTTTGCCAAATTATTAAATCCTATACATGTTAGGGCCTAGCCAACTTATTCATAGAATAATACCACTTGCTCACCATAAACATACAGAATCAAATGTTATGTGTCACATCCCCATTCGTATTTTTTTAACAGTTGACACATTATTTTCTCTGAATTATATATATAATTTAAAAAAAGTAATAAAACACAAATTAAAAAGCTTTTGCAAATTTCAAATATTTGGTGGTCCAAATCCAATCGTGGTTTGGGTGGTGAGCCAACTTTGCAACTTGTTGTGAGTGCACTTCAAATTTTTTTTTTTGGGGGGCAGATGGGGGCCATCGGCCATGGAATGTTATGAGAAGTTCTGGGCTGGGTGCATGAACCAAGATCAAATTCACATCATCCAATCCAAAATGCAAGCGACATGTACAACTTTTTTTTGGGGTTAAAAACGTGATAGGCTTATCTTTTATGAATGTTCTTTTTTTATCGTTGAAAAAGAGATCTTCGATCAATAATGTTAGGCTATATAAAACCTTATAGCATATAGGTTAATTAGGAAAGGATTAAGGACAGCATATGCTTTCATTTTAACTTGGGTTTGTGAAATGAATCATGATAAGCCCTCGTGTCGTGTGAGTTTAATAATAAGCGAACAAGTGCATGTACTAGTACACATCTTTATCGTCCAATTAATTATTGCTTTAATCATGGTAGCTAGCTCAGTCTTTATCCTCAAACCCTTAAGAATAGATATTAAGTAACATAGTCATCAGAAAGATTCAACCGACATAAAATTAGAGAAATGTTCGTGTGTGATTATAACACAATGTTATAACATGAGTGATCAGCGGAATATACACGTATTATAATATGAGTAAATTAATAATACTACATGACAGCAATGTTATGGTTACATCGTTTATCCTAAAACTTGCTAGAATATAAACCTAAGATTATACATGTGTATGCAGCCTCGGTGTCTCCATTGATTTAGACTCTTTGTTTTGTCCTGTGGTATTTGCGTATCCTCTACATAACTCTTTTTCTGGCTTAACAAGCAAGAGAAGTGAGAAGATAGAAAACATGAAAGCTCACACACACGAACACTTGTACAGTTGCAGTTGCAGATGAGAAGTGAATCTAATTAAAGTCAAATGTCTACGCACAAATTCAAGAAGCACTTGAAAAAAAGTCAAGAGTGGAAAAGGCTAAACAATGATGTAAGAACGTCGCAAAAAGTTTTGGCTTTATATTAGTATTTGTTTCCTGCACCTAAGTATATTCTATGCACCATACACTTCATGGGTCTTGGCTTGAAAAGGAACCCAACTGGGTTAAATGCATTGCATACTCCCACAGTATCACAGTCTCATTGTCTCATTGTCACTCATCTGAGCTATCACATTATATTAGCTTTTAATTTAAGCACGTGCGTTTTACCAGTGATTTTGTTAATTCAGCTTTTTTCTCAAGTTGAAAGCTTCGGTACTTTCCAAGAACCTCTCTTCGTCTCTTTCTTTAAATCTTACTTCAGTTTTCTAATATGGTTTTAACAGACTTCTATGTAGTCTAGTCTAGACTAGCTTTTTTCCTTCTGCAGGTGGGAAAATTTTCAAGGGCATATTTAATTAGTGTCATTAAGAGATTAATTAAGGTAAGGTGTGCTAATTCGTGCTTAATTATAGCTGTTTCCTGGAAGCTCACTTGAGAGAAAGAGCGCCTGGTTTTGTGCATGCAGATTGCCCCAAAAAGCAACATTTGATTGCAACTTGCATTATAATTATGAGTTGAATGGGTTTATTCAACAAGAGGAATTCTGCAAATTTGATGACTAGCCAAAGAGGAATTCTCTAGATGGGTGACATTGATTTGAATCACTTATATATATATATATATTCAATTATTATTTGCAGCATTATGGGGTTAGTTGGTATTCCTTCATGCTTTTGTATGTAAAAGATATAAATTATAATGCATGTGTTGACCTAATGTTTCTCTTTGTGTTTCTGAGCCTGAAAAACTTGAATCCGTGTCAATACTGGATTGCCGGACATGGTTTGCACTAACTACTGGTTTTATCACCTAATTGCGTTGAATTGGAACTTGGAATTTTGGCTCACCTTATACACAACTATGAATTACAAACGGGGATCAAAAAGAGTCTTTTTGCTATACGTCTAGACAAACACTAACGAAACACATAAAAAATATGTGATTTCACTTTCTAATGGAACACTACGACCCCATTCAAAAAATCAATCAATTCAAGAAGGAGAAAAGTAACCAAAATGAAATGATTCGGGGTTCTATGCAGTCGTTTTGCATGACTCTGCTTGGGGCCGGCCTTTAAAGGCCGTGCTTTTGGTTATACATACTTACATCACATCAATTTGTACCCAACCACTTAGATAGAGGTGGGATGACCCTCTTAAGTGAGGAGGTTAGGTGATAAGAGTGGACTTAAGACAATTTCTTAAGATGAAAATTTCTAATTTGGGGTTCGCTGCAACTTGCTTGACAATCACATAAGTGATCGTAAACTGATTGAAATGCTTTGTATCGTGTTTAGTTTAAATAAACAAAACCTTATTTTTTTGAAGCCAAGAGAGCAAGGCATCTTAGAGAGTATTATCAGATAAATATATGCAGGAATGAATCAAAATCCGAAAAAGAAAATAATAACTTGGATTTAAGAAGAAAAAAAATCATGAACTTCTAACAACGTTGTTGACAGTTGGGCTAGTAGTGCCTATTCAATTGGGCTTGCCAATGTTGGAATTACTTGTGGGCTTTCTTGGATGCAATTGGACATCTCATATATTCCTATTGGAAACCCATCTGCATCCGCATGACAAAGCAATACGTTGTCCGACCAAAACAAAAACAGCAATACGTCGTCGCATTGATGCGTTTTGTCGCTTATCAATGAAAAGCACGACACGTAGTTTTCTTTGCTTGTTCTAAAAAGGTAAGTTTAGAGACCAGACCAAGAAGGGGACATCGAAGGCGGCCAATGTCTGAAATACGCCAAAGATGGAATGGAACGCACCAATCACCAATACCAGACTATTACTCACTCTCTCTCTGTCTGGCCAGCCGGCCAGCCAGCCAGCCAGCCGTCAAAAGTTCAAAACCCTTCCACAATAATTCCTCCCACATATCAAATATGCATGCACCTCCATAATTTTCCTTCACCAAATTGTCGTGGTCGTAAGGGGTTTGTAGAGTAAGTGATTAATAACAGTTATTCATGCTCTTAAAGTTATGTGTTTGGATCGTCTCTCCCAATACCCACTTGTATAACAATCAAAAATCAATCTGCCACGGTCAAATAATAATAATAAGCAGACATCTATGCATATACAGTAATATAATGCTCAAAAGGCCTTCTTAATGGCCAAAGGGAGGTTTGCCTTTTCTTCTTGGTCAGAAGCTTCCTAGGCTCCTAGCCAAAAAAACATGTTCCAACCCAACCATCAGATTGGACCAGCTTAATTTATTAGTCCCCACCAGAGACCACACCACGCACTATATATCTTGCATGTCACAACCCATATTTTTGCCACCAAATTTGAATCAAGACTTTCTGTTTTTGCTTAACATGGAAGGGAAGAGAGTGGAGAACCAGCAGAAGGAGCAGACTAAGGTAAGAGATCAAACCCGGTATCGAGGGATTCGGAGGCGACCGTGGGGCAAGTTTGCTGCTGAAATACGTGACCCTTCAAGAAATGGGGCACGCCTATGGCTAGGCACATTTGAGACAGCTGAAGAGGCAGCTAGGGCTTATGATCGAGCTGCTTTCGGCTTCCGGGGTCATTTGGCCATCCTCAACTTCCCTAATGACTACCAGTATCATAACCCATCAAGCTCTTTGATCAGCACTTCATCCTCTTCATCTTCTTCTTCATCATCATCTCCATTTTCTGCTGCTGATATTGGAAAGAGTACTAATTTTGGCAGAGGCCAAGAAGAAGATGAAGTTATAGAGTTTGAGTACTTGGACAACATGGTTTTGGAGGAGCTTCTTGACACAAAAGAGAATCATCATAGACAGGGGAAACCAACCCATTAGAGAAATTGACTGGTTTTGCTTGAACTTGAGGCAAAATTGAAGTTGGTTTAGCTCTGTTTGTTTCTTTCTTTGTGAAATTCATTGTAGCCAGTTGTTACTCTGACTTATTTATCTCTACCAGTCTTTTTTATCTCAGTAAAAACAAAACTTGTGAAGGTAAAAGAAGAAGGGAAATTTACCTGATATTATAATGTGGAAACAAATCCGTACATTGGTGCGACCCAAAATAAATAAATAATGAAGATGCTGGCTGTTCTTGACTTTTGGTTATGATTTCAAACAACATAATGCCAATCATTGAGCTGCTATGACCAATTTTTTTTGCAGAAGATAACGCAGTCAACTTGCTCAACAAGGCATCTATGGATCCAAGGAAACACAGCTTCTTACAATTACAGTTGCTCAAGTCATATATTTAATTTTCTATTAGTCTTAAAATATGATATAATGACAGTGATTAAGAATATAATAATTGGGTTCATAACAAAACAAAATTATAATACTTGGGTTAATACTAAAACAGAAAGGTCACTAGATTGACAACGCATGAGCATGACAACTTTCATGGTATTTTCACATGAGATCAGTACTTCAATATTTAACCAAAAATTCTATTCAAATGACTCGAATCCTACACCGCCGAAACAGAGAGAACATAAAAAAAAATTGAAGCTTCGATTTGCAGAAACAGAATTCTGAAGTTGACGTTCGGTTTTTCACTAGTTAAGCATAGATTTGAGTTGTGTGATTTGTATTACGCCAAGTTCTTCACTCACTCTTGCTTTTGTTGTCAAAATCAAGAAGGTCCTCTAACACACTATCATCTAAATACTCAAACTCAAAGATTTCTCTTCCTGTTTCTGTCCTGGTGGTCACATTATTATGCAATGTAGAAGAAGATGAAAAATTAGATGAAGACGAAGACGAAGAAGATGAAGAAGAAGAAGAAGAAGAAGAAGCAGCAGAAGGAGAATGATCAGCTTCAGGCAAACCATATTCACTTGGAAAATTGAGAATTGCAAGAGGACCCCTCATGGAAAAAGCAGCTCTGTCATAAGCCCTTGCAGCCTCTTGTGCAGTGTTGAAAGTGCCAAGCCACAGCCGAGCTCCCTGCCGTGTCGAATCGCGTATTTCAGCTGCAAACTTCCCCCACGGCCTTATTCTCACGCCTCTGTACTTCACATCCCTCTGTCCCTCTTCTCTGGCTTTGCCTCTGCTTCGACCTCCTTCCATATGGCCTACTGAGTTAAACTATTGAAGCCTCACTCTGGGAATTTATATTGGGTTGGAAATGTGCGTAATTGGGTAGATACAGAAGTTGACAAATCAGACTCAGATGCCCATTTGATAAAGATTGTTTATTTATAGGATACAAAGTATTATGACTGTAGGAGGTCAAGGTGATGGCTTTCAAGGAGAGGGTCAATTTTGCATGTATCTGACATGACTTTTTCCTGTTATTCTTTCCAATTTCAAAACCTCATGAGAGTAGTGGCATCATTTGGATTTAAACAAAGGTGGTTTTGGTTAATTAAGTTGCATTATTAAAAGGAAATAAAAATTAAAATATAACCTGGCAGATGCTGCAGCAGATCACAGTTTTTGTGTGCCATTGCATGAATGATTCCTCTGTCTTGGGGACCATAAGTTGGCATTGAGGTCACGAATTACGTCTGCGTAATTCATCATCAATCTTGTTTTGCTAATCAGCTATAAAACATAGGATTAAGAAATAGATCAATATAAATATATGTCCTAGAAGGAGGTTGAATTGGGACTGGTGAGAAAGATTCTATAAGAACATGTGTCAGATTTGTTCAAAAGTGAGGTCATTTTGCTTGCGTTGCTCATAGAGGTCATGGGATGATGTCTTGTAATTTGGGGAAGTTCCTAGGTTCATTGGGGGTGAGGGTGTGGGTGAGGTCAGCTTGCTTACCCTTGAGTTTTTGCTCAGCAAGAATATATGCTGCTGTCAGTTCACAACAAACCATTTGCTTAGAAAGTGGGCATCCAAATTAGGCACAATATGCTTCCATTTGATGAATCTTTCTTTCCCATGTTTTCAATTTATGCAAAAATCTGCCTTGTGATTCTTTTGGTTATACAAATTTGTGTCAATGATTAGGAGAAAGTTATACAGTTTGTGTCAATTGGCTTTCCACAATTTGTGCACTAAAATGCAGGTTTTTTAAGTGACAATTTAAGAGATTGCCTTGATGGTTTTGGCTATGTTTTGGTGATGGTGTGTGGTGATAGCAGCAGGAACAAACAAAACCCTTTCTGGGTTATTTTAATCACCACACTGTTTCTTGGTCACGCCAGATTTAAATAAGAGAGCATGTGTTCCATAGGTCAAGCAATTTTAATTCTCCATAGGTTCAAGAAAGGAAGGGGGAAGTAACTAAAGCAAAGTCCAAAGCCATGGGGGCCATCAAATAGTTTTTCAATTCTAACTTTTAAGTGTGCTTAATAGTACTCTATTAACAAAAGGGTTAGTTTAATTGAGCCAAAAATTAAAAATTGGTTTTGTTTATAAGGAGTGGTCCTGCTCTTAAAAAATTACACTCATTCGTAATCAAGGACGTGGTTTTACATAATGTTGGTAATGATGATGTGTGCAAAGCATCAAGAGGAAACATTTGATGAGATCATCATATGAATCATGTATTGTACAATCAGACTACGGCATACGAATGCAAATTTATCCACTCGAGATCTTGTGTTTGATTCGTCATCTGTTTCAATTTTGCTTGTATAAAGGATGAAAATCCTACTAGAGAATTCATCAACAAGTGCTATTTTCCTATGTTTTCCCGCAACCAAACGGCAGGGAAATGAGTGATTCCTTTGTTTTGGGGACCATAACAGTTGGTAACATGGTATTGAGGTCATCAAATTACGTCTGCCTAATTGGCCATCATAATTATTCTTTTTTTTTAATTGGCTATATACAACATAAGATTCTATTAGATTTGGTTCAAAAGTGAGGTCATTTGGCTTGCGTTGCTCTTACAGATCATAGGATGACGTCTTGTAATTCTGGATTTCCTAAGTTAATTGAGCTGAGAGGTGAGATCATCTTGCTCACGTTTGAGTTTTTGATCTGCAAGCTTATGTTGCTGTCAGTAGCAAAAGTCCTAAGCAATCTAAGTCCCAACGTGACATAAATAAAATAATCAATATTTTGTCGATAATATCGATTTGTTACGATACTAGTGCTATTCGAAAACTTTGCTATGATTGTTGTGGTATTTAAGAGCATTTTTTTGCCCTATGTTTTCAATTCATGCTTAAAACTGCCTTGGGGTTCTATTTGTTTTCTTCTAAACTACTTTAAGTTATGTTTAGGAGAAAATTCTATACTTCATGTCCATTTGCTTTCTACGCTTTGTGCTCCAAAATGCAGTTGTAGATTTTTGGTGACAGTTTTAGCTATGTTTTGGTGATGGTGTGGTCATAGCAGCAGGTGCAAACAAAAGCCTTTCTAGGTTATTTTAATCACCATTCTGCTTGTTCCATGTGGTCATCTTTTTAATTGACTTGATGTCAAGAAAAGGAAGGGGGGAAGTACTTAAAGCAAAGTCCAAAGCCATGGGGAGTCATCAAATAGTTTTCAATTCTATCTTCTAGAGTGTTTAATAGTATTCTATTAACAAATGGATTAGTTTAATTAAACCAAAACCATTGATCTTGTTAAAAAAAAGGTTGTCCTGCTCTTAAAAATTACACTTAATCGTAATCAAGGACCTTTTTTGGCATAATAATGCCGCTAATGATGATGTGTGCAAAGCAGCAAAGGAAACAATTGATGAGATCACTTCATGAGCAAGGCAAGGTTTAACATATATAAATACATATGTATATATTCCGGTAGATATGACATCATTGCATACATGAAAAACATCACTAAACCATGACCAGATGATCATAATGCAAGTACTCAGCAAAGCAACCACACAGGACGCAAATTATTCTTACAATACAGCAGACTAATGTTTACAAAGTAAGAACTACAGGCCGGGGCACTGAAAAACGCTTCAAGCCTGCATCTAATATGTATTTGTTACAGAGGATAGAATTCAGAAACAAGTAGACCAAACGTGAAAATACATCAATAAACAAAATTATGACTGTTTCCTTTTTCTGTCCAGATAAAAGTAGCTACGCTGAAAGCTCAAGATCGCCCAAGCGAAATGCCGGAAACCAATCTCTGGCCAGAGCACAGATGGAGAGTACAAACAACAGTGTGCACTCTGCCACAAAAGAAAATTGCTCAACCGGGTCTCGCCAGAAGTACGGATTAGAATATCAGGGTCAGGTGCAACAGCCATGTACATATGCTTTTCAATATCTGTCAATTTTACAATGTTCTCCCTTTCTTCCTTTTCATTCCCTCCAAGTTGAAGTAGACCATACCCAGCTCCACTTGCATTCATTACACTAATTTCATCTGATTTTTCTTCGCACGATTCTTGAACAGCATGCACAATCTCATCAGTGGAAGTGTAGGCAATACATATTGACAGAACTCCTCTGGAGTTGTTGGCAGTGGCCTCCATAGCCCTCTCAGCTGCCAACCTAACAGGTTCACTCAAGAGTTTTAGGTTCCCTATAAAGTGTACCTTAATTCCATATCGGTTAACTATACTTTCTTCCTTGATTAACCCTTCAATTTTCTCCCGCATCAGGTCCATCAAGGATTGAACTTCTTCAGGGTCCCTTTTGAAATTATCAATACTAAAGGCATATATAGTCACATATCTAACTCCCAACTCATAACAATACTTGAGCATGGACATCAGAGCCAAAAACCCAACCCTATGTCCATCCCCTTCCTTCAACTTCCGCTTTTTAGCATATCTTCGATTTCCATCCATAATGAACGCAATGTGATGAGGTATAGGACGAACAGAAATTACTAGAAAAAGACATCTCCTCAAGAAACTAACTATGCTCCAAAAAATCTGGGTTGCTTTATTGCCATTGCTTTTCTCCATCCTAGAACCATGCACAACTGCCGAGTTCTGCTAAAACCTATTTGACCTGTTAATTAGTAAACAAACTTTAGTTCAAACTCCTGAAGTTAAAACATGGAACCACTGAAACATCATGCCTTAAAATGTAGTTCAGCCTATTAACCTATAACCACAATCATATAAAGATTGAGTTCCAGCATAGTATGCTTAACAGCAGGTGTGGCTTTTCTACTTTTAGAATGATCTCCATTGACAGAGTTACATTTCCTTCCGTCGAAACCCAACTTAGCATTGTAAAATTTTGATCCAATGCAATAGGAACAACCATGCAAAGGATCAAGACTAAATTTCTTATGGTATCACGCATTAACATCTAAAACCAAATCCCTCAAAATTGAATAATCACTTGTCTGGCAGATATTAGTCATAAACAAAATGCATACAGTGCACACACAGCAGTTTGAAAATTACAACAAAAAAAAGAGGCAAATAGTTAAGAAACCAATGCTTGAATATTAGAAAATCACAATACTTTGGTGCTTTTCAACTGTGGTAAATCAAGATTCAGAAATAATCACACCACAATGCAAAAAAACACTTGAGCAGAACAAAATAAACCAAGGAATAAAGATAGTGCACAAGAGACTTATGAGGTTTGGCAAAATCTTGCCTACGTGAGTCTACATCCCGGATAGAGTTATCCTTTACTATGAGAACAATAACAGTACAAGACACACTTGAGTTAAATCAACATAACCCAAACAATAACCTGTGCATCCACTCACAGTATTTCGCAAGAGTTCTTTTTCTCTCAAACACCCATGTTTCAACTATTACATGCACTCATCAAATGAATCACATTCTACCCATTAATAGGCAGTTGGTTCAACGTGAAAAACAAAGCTTTTACAATTATCTTCAATTTTTCAACCACCATTTCATGCAACATGGCTTCCTCTAAAAGCCAATCCTCTAGTTAGATCTACAAGGACATAGGATGCTGCACCATTTACTACACCAATTTCAATAAACTTGGTACTGTGAACATTGAAAAGACATTGACAGTTACCTAAATTTGTACAGGTAGAACAATACATTGAACATCTTGTTGTGTTACTTGTGTATTCTATCTCATGCATATAGGCAATTTGGCGTATAGGCTTCTATGACCAAAATGCTATAACCAATCAGAATAAACGACCGCGTTTAATATGCTTAGAGCTGTAACTACTGATTAAAAGCCGCAAACATTAAAAAAGAAAGTAAAGTTCTGAATTTGAGATAAATTGGAAATGACAGAAACCTAATAGCCTCCTTCCACTGAACCCAAGATACAAACTTTTCTGGTTGCCAGGAAGGAAGGTCCCATCTTTTAGACGAAAGTTGATTTATTTTTCCTTTTCGATTTCTCGGAGACCAAACAGAGGCTTGGAAAATCAGAGAGAGAGAGAGAGAGAGAGAGTTACCAGTTAACCAAATGCAGAGTGGGATCAAAGTAGCAGCAGGGGAGGGAAGTAGAGTAGACCAGTCCCAGTGTGAGAGCGAGAGAGTTGAAAGACAATTTGGCTCCTTCGGGCCCCCCCTTTGAAGTTGGAATTTGCACACGTTTACCGACAGTTCTTCCCGTCTTCCTTCAGTGCGTCTATTTTGCAATTTTGCGACTGAAGAAGGACCAATGAGAATAAGACAACAGACTATTGAGGCCAACTCGTGAATATACCAAAATAGGGCACACACACACAACAAACGACCTTGGGATCAAACCATGAATAACGGGAAATAGATAATGTAGCTTTTAGTCTACACTACAGAAACAGCGAGGGTAGTTTTGGATCTTCACGTCTCATTTCCTCTGCCTTTTCACGTGTGGTTTCCAGAATTTTTTTTTTTTCACACGTGTGTTTCTTCTTCTTCTTCCTTCTTGATTTATCCGAAATTGCGGCAAGTTGACTGTGGAGCTTAGGAGTGGCTTAGGAGTAAGCTCCTGAGCTCCTAATTTCGGTGGCAGAAATGAAATCTGTTCATTTCTCACAGCTCTCACCTCCAATTCGTGCCTTCAACCCTAATAATCATGCTTCATCATCATCTTTTTCTTCTTCTTCAATCACTCTTCTCCAGCGCTGTAAATTCAGCTCTGTTTCTCTCACCTCCACTTCTGGTCCCTCCCGCTCAATCACGCTTTGCGCTCCCAATTCCACCAAAGCGACGTCGTTGTCTTCGTCCCAGTTCGAATCGGCGGCAGCGGAGGGCATAAAGGAGGTTTCTTTTCAGGTTCAAAACGACGCTTCGCAAAGTCCGTGGCATGTGGAAGTCGGAAAACCTAGCGTTCCGTCTCCGTCGGTGGCCAAATTGAGCTTGAGCGACCAGGCTTTCTTCCTCTTGGCCTTCGTCGCCTGCACGGTATATAAGCCTCAGTTCTTTTTTTCTTTGGTTTAATATGTAGTTTGTTGTGGAAATTGGGATCAATTTGGAAACTTTTTTACATAAATGAGAAATGATAAGATTTAGTTAATTATGTGCATACACTGCTGATATGTTAATTGATTTCATTGTGCAGACTTCTGTGGCATTTACGAGCCTTGTAATTGCAGCTGTCCCGACACTATTTGTAAGTTTTCTTTAATATTTCAATCCAAAGGAAAAAGCAATCACTGAAGTGCATAGGAAATCAGTTGAGTTTTAGGGAGTTCTGACTTTTCCATGGCTTTTCCTTTTTTGCTAAAACCCCAAACCCTGAATCAGATTCTATTCTTTTTTTTGTCTATCTTTGTACTGCTTATTATTGGGTCTTGATATTTTTGGTTTTGTTGTTTGGATGAGTTTGAGTGCCATTTGGATTGTCGGAAGATTTATTGTGCAGTGCTTTGCATGGAATGGAATGTTTAAAAACTCCTGGCATGGACTCATGGATGGAATGATCTTGGTGTTTTGAGTCCTTGTCTTGAGTTGGGCATGAACCCAAAAGCAAATTAGAATTATAAGTCTTGATAAATGTCTTCTTTTGAGGTAGCTTTAGGTGCCCTTTTCTTTGGTTAAAAGCAGATGTTTGAGGTCTTGTCCAAATTCTTGTTCCAATGTGGCTGTTTCTGGTATGTTCTGTAGGCAATGGGGAGAGCTGCAATATCTCTTTCGAAGCTGGCGGATACAGCTCGTGAAGAACTCCCCAGTACTATGGCTGCCATTAGGCTTTCGGGCATGGAAATAAGTGATCTTACACTGGAACTGAATGATCTAAGGTGATAATTAAATCTTTATTACCTTAGTCTCTGACCCATGTTATGTTTTACATGGTTGCTTTATAGCTTCTCTTCATAGTTAAACTCCTTTACTATGTGCCATCTATCATTTTCTAGTTTATAACCCCAGAACGAATCCATTCAATCGTCAACTGTATTGTTCCATGCATATGTGGCCACCTGCAAAAGCAATGGAGTTTCCAAGGGGGGACAAATTCAATCTTGTCTGGTTTTCTTTTTGCCCCTAAAATATTTGTTATAATCTGGTGTTTACTTCCAGAAATACACTAAACCAGGTTTGATATGAGGATTACTTCACAAGGCAATTTGGTTACCACTCGTGTCTGTCAATACATTTGAATTCAATTTCTGATTTTCTATATATGGTTCACTTCACATAAGTTTTTTTTTTTTTTTTTGTCCTTTTCACATTTTGAATATTTATGTCATGCTTTTATTCCATTCTGCATTCAGCCAAGAGATCGCTGAGGGGGTCAGCAAATCTACTCAAACTGTTCAAGCAGCAGGAGCTGGGATTCGGCAGATTGGTACACTTGCGCAGCAGCAGACTATGTGTATGTTTATCTGACGTCTGGATAGAATTCGTTTGCTGCGGTTTTCCTTAATGTGGCCTTTCTATTGATCTTCACTTAATTTCTCAACTGTTATTATAATTTTTTTATGATACAGCAATGATACAAGAGAGGGCGAGCCTGCCCATCATCTCTTTGCAACCAGCTGTTGTTGGAGCAGCAAAGAAGACTACTCGTGCTGTTGGCCAAGCCACCAGGATCTTCATGAATATAATATCTCCAAAGGACTCGGAAAAAGTCAATGAGGAGGACGTTGAAATTGATAGGGTGGAACTTTAAGTTTGCTGCACTTATAACCAGTAGCCATTTTTTCACGAACTTTGTGTGCATAATACTTGTACAGTTTCCAGAGCATGTGGACCGACTTAATTATTTGTTATTGGAAATGTCCCGGAGTTGGGGATAAGCAGTGAAGATAAAATTGCCTCCATTGAAGTCCTAAGCTCCCGTTGCTGCGGTGGTCCAATTGTTCGTATTGAAGTTGTCAAAGGAGTAAGAAGTTCCTAAGCTCCTATTGGAAATGTGGTCTTTTTCTAATGTAAGATTTCTATATTAGCTTTCCAAACTTATGAGGTTGACCATTAAATTTAAATGTTGATAGAATCTTTTATTTATATCTTTTGAACCTTTGCCTAAGTCAAGTGTCAAGGTAAGCTTGTTGAAATTAGAACTACAAGGATAAATATGATATCGATTCGAAATTATAAGAATGGAAATGGAGAAGTTATGGGTATCTGGTAAGATTTGCATAACTCTGTTCAGAACCAAGTTAATCTTGCATCACATGTTTTTGTTTTTCAGTTTTTCTCCCCTCCCTCCCTTCAGAAGGTGAACATTGTTCAGGACCAAATTAATCTTGCATCATATATCTGAAGTTAATGCCAATATTTTATTATAGCTTTCTACAAGCAGTTGAATTGAAACTTGGAAACAAAATAATGTAGTTGACTTGGGAGAACAGAACATGATTGACCACAATATTCGAAAAAGAAAAATGGCCGGTGGGGATTTTGGTTTGTTATAAATCACTCACATGCATCAACCGGGTGATAAGAAATTAAGCTTGTTTTGATCACTGAATATTATTCCCCCAACATGTCATGACAAATTAAGCTTGGGATTAGTACCCGAATGCCAAAATGTGGCTTCATATAGTTAGTAGGCTCAATTATGCTGGTAGAAGTTAGGGAAGTGGAAAGTCAGTGAATGAAAATAAATACCATTTGAACTGCAAAGCCGGTGAGCATGTTGCCTCTTTGTACTAAGATCCTTTTCAATCTTAATCAAGTTGACATCAATCCCTCAATTAATAATTAAGTACACGCACATGAGCCTCCTAAACAGTTCATCTTACTTACTATAATAACAAGGTTGCTGGAACTGATAAAAAGCACCAAAGCCAGCTTAACCAACTTGTAAAAGTTGGATCTACTACTTTTATACCATTTTAGTGTTGCAGGGTTTTTCAATGCAGACCCGTCTTGTTTTCCAAGGGGCCCTTCTGGGTCTCTGGTTGTGCTTGTTTGCTGTAAGCGTCTGCTACAGCAATGCAGAGACTATTGAGGAAGCCGGAGAACAAGCACTAGACAAAGCTTATTCAGGTGACATATAATATATATAGTCTTAGCGTGATCAAATAGTTCTTTTAGGCTACTTGATTACACTACAAATTTTCTATTACAAGGAAGCTACTTGACAGCTCTAGCAATGTAGCACAATACAATAACAAAAGTTACAAAACAGACCCCTTCATGGCTCTTCATTATTTTGAATTACTTACTGAAATCTCTAGGTTTGTTATTTTTTTTGTGAATTTTTTTTCTGATAAGTAACATTCTTCTGCATCTCTTTGTGCACATGTCCTATTGAATAGCTGCAAACAGAGTCTGCAGAGCTCAATGAAGAAGGGAAGTTTGTCTTTAAGAAACACCCTCTACCTAAGATTCCCATTGTAAAGAAGCCATTTCCACCAAAGCCCCCCTTCAAGAAGCCACTCCCTCCACCCTTCAAGAAGCCAGTCCCTCCTCCACTTCCAATC